TTTACAAGTCTTATTTTTTCTTTTTAAGAGTAAAAGGTATTTAATATGGTTGCAAAAATAATGATGTGTCCAGGAATTGGTTAGCTATAAAGATTTACCCTCAGATGGTGATTGCAGAGTTAGGAGGATGAGCTTAAGATTTCTTGGCCTTCTATCATAGGCTTGAGACTTAGCTAGGCATTTCATAAACTTAACTCATCGAATCTTTACGACATTCTTGTGAAGCAGATGGCGTTATCCCTTACTTGCAAATGAGAAAATTGAGGCCCAGAGTGGTAAATAAACTTTACCAAGCTCACACAGCTCATAAGTGGACAAAATCATGGCTTAAAACCAACTCAGTCTGGCTCTAAAAGTCTATTATTTTTTCACTTTATCAAATCTTATGTATTTGTGAGATGGAGTCTTGTTCTATCGCCCAGGCTGGAGTGCAGTGGCGTGATCATGACTCACTGTAGTCTCGACCTCCTGGGCTCGAGCAATACTCCTGCCTTAGCTTCCTGAGTAGCTGGTACTACAGGCATGTGCCAGTAGGCCTGGCTAATTTTTAAAAAAATGCTTGTAGAGACAGTCTCACTTTGTTGCCCAAGCTGGTTTTGAACTCCTAGCCTCAGGAAATCCTCTTACCTCTGCCTCCCAAAGTGCTGGGATAACAAGTGTGAGGCGCCGTGCCTGGCCTTAATTATTAAATTTACAAATTTAACCTGTTCATCGTAAATTGCTTTGATATTTGGCCCAGTAATAAATGTTAAATGGTCTGTGGAGCCAAGTATATATAGACTTTTAGTTAAGATGACTTGAAGAAAGCAGAAGATAAATTAATAATCAGGAGCTCTCATAGGGGATAGAAAGTATTGAAGTGGTAATCTGATGCTTGAGAGATTAGGTGCCAGGAGATTCTTGTCAGTGGATAACACTGCAAGAGAAACTTTGTCAGTGTTTGGTTTGCTATGTTGTAGATCATATTTTCCATGCTACAAAATATAGGAAATTTCCTTTAGGTATATTAGGGTCAAGGAGAGCATTTTTCTAGGGCACCCTCTGCTGACTTCCTAGCAGTAATTAAGATACCTACCTGACGTAATTGTACAGATACTAATGATGTAAATAAATTAAGGAAAGAAGTTAATTTCAAGGGCCATTAGAAACAAAGGAAATCGATGTTAGTAACAAATGAAATAGAAAAATAGAGCTAGGGAAAGGATCAAGTTTATTTTAGAATTCAAAGTTAGCTATTGAATCCTTTTTGAATTATAGGAAAAATACTTCTGATATTGGAAAATTTCCATTTCAGAGAAATAGTTTAAGCTTTATACTGTAAAGTTTATACTTTAAACTTTATAAGGGTGGCCTGATAAGAATCAGCACGTAGGGTCAGCTTTCTAAATGAGTGATTACGTTATTAAAGTGCTGTCTTTGGCCCTTTATAACTAAAAGGTAAACTTCTGGCAGTTTTAGTGGCAAAGTCTGAAATTGATCAGTGACCTAGTTGGGTTCTAGATAAAATGCTATTAATAGTTCTTTGGAAACATTCAGATTCAGAGAATTAGATGATTAGATGTGGACTTTATTAGATGAGAAACTCCACTCTGAGGAGGCGCCTAAGGATCTGTGCTGTTCATCCCCTTTCACACCTGAGGCCTTTCACATCTAATTGATAACCAACTAATAGGCATTTCACATCTAGTTAATCTGACTTTGTCCCAAATAGCTGTGACTTGACCTCACTTTTCTTGTGACTCCAGGCAGCCACTTCTTTACCTTTCAGAGTTGCCATTTGAGAAGAAATATGCTATTTTGAGCCCTAGCCATTTTATTTGATAACATGTAGAATATGAAATAACTCCCATAGAAAACTGAGTATACAGCAACTAAAAACTGGGTATGGTGACTTGCTTTGGGATCCTAGTGCTTTGGGAGGCTGAGATGGGAGGATCGCTTGAGACTAGGAGTTTGAGACCTGCCTTGGCAACATAGCAAGACCCCCATCTCTACAAAAAGTTAAAAAATTAGCTGAGCATGGTGGTGCACTAGAAAAAATTTAAAAATTAGCTGGGCATGGTGGTGCACACATGTAGTCCCAGCTACTTGGGAGGCCAGGAGTAAGCTATGAATGCACCAGTGCACTACAGCCTGAGCGACAGAGTGAGACCCTGTCTCAAAAAAAAGAAAAAGAAACTGAAGACATTTAATAAATACTTTTGATATTTAACTTACTTAATTTACAAAAATGATTTGGTCCCAAATTTGCAGGAAAACATAAAAACATGATCAAACAGTTTTAGGGAGTTAGACATTGAACTGTCTATGTAGGGCAACTATTCTTTACTGTAACAAAAGAAGAATATCAAGTTTTACTTCTTCTGAGACAATACTATAATTTGGCTTAAAATAATAAAAGGTAACAACATTAAGAGGTAATGAACAATTCTGATTGACACTGGTATTAGAGGGATGTATTTTAGGAACAATCTGGGTTCCATTTTGAAAGTATTAAAATGACTTGTTACTGTATAAATAGCTGTAGCTTTGTGTATGGTTGAATGTATCTGTCATTTGCTGCTGTTATTTGCAAAACTGACTATAGAACTATTTGGACTATTATAGAAAATCAACCTATAAATATCAGTGCAAACTTTTGTTCTTGTGGAATAGGTTTTTTTTTTTTTTTTTTTTTCCTATTTTGTTTTGTTTTGAGACAGGGTTTCACCCTGTCGCCTATGCCGGAGTGCAGTGGTGCAACCTAGACTCTCTCATCACAGCCTCAACCTCCTGAGTGCAAGTGATCCTCCCAGCTCAGCCTTCCAGGTAGCTGGGACTACAGAAGCACACCCTGATACCTGGCTAATTTTTTTGTAGAAACAGGGGTCTCCCTATATTACCCAGGCTGGTCTCAAACTCCTGGACTCCAATCCTCCTGCCTCAGCCTCCCAAAGTGGCTGGGATTATAGGCATGAGCCACTGCGCCTGGCCATGGAATAGTTTTGACAGCACTTAATAATATCAAGCAGAATAAAAATTCCTTAGGAAAATATTTTGGAAAAAAAATGCAGAATGGATTATATTTGTTTTTTGCTTTTTTGTCATGTTTCTGTTACTAGCTACTAACATTTTACTACTGTACATTTTGAAAATTTGACAGTCCATTATCAAATATGGGATGATAAACATTTGAGTTGTTGAGAAGCTAAGTAATCTTTTTCATTCTATGAACTTATGAATTATATTAAAAGTAATCTCACTCTTTCATTTAAAGGCCAATAAATGTAGCTCTACTCCTTCTTTCTAGCCTTCTGTTGGACTAATAGTTTCAGGATGGACTTTCGGCCGGGTGCAGTGGCTCACACCTGTAATCCCAACACACTGGGAGGCCGAGGCGGGCAGATCACTTGAGGCCAGGAGTTTGAGATCAACCTGGCCAACATGGTGAAACCCTGCCTCTACCAAAAAAAAAAAAATTAGGCTGGTGTGGTGGTGCCCACCTGTAATCCCAGCTACTTGGGAAGCTGAGGCGCAAGGATCGCTTGAACCCGGGAGGTGGAGGTTGCAATGAGCCGAGATTGTGCCACTGCACTCCAGCCTGGGCAGCAGAGTAAGACTCATGTCTCAAAAAATAAAAATGAAAAAGATGGATTTTTGAGTTTCACTTCCACCATTAGGCAGCTACGGAATCATAAGCAAGACACGGTATTTTTTTTTTAACCTATCAAATGAAAGAACTGCACAAAATCCATGGTTTTTAAACCTTCTTGGAGTCATGGAGAAATCCTTTGAGAATCTAATGAAAGCCAGCAATATTAACACCCTGAAAACTGCTTATCCATATAAAAGATTGTGTGTAATTTCAGGAGCTGTAGTATTCCCTGAAGCCATCCACAGACCTCAATTTAAGATCCCTGGATTAGAGGATTTCTGGGTTAATCCTAGTTTTCAAAGTCTATAATTCTCTATTTCTGTCCACTACCCTGTCGTCTAGCTATACATGCTATGATCCTCATTCTTCAGACTCCTGCTTCAGGTGTTTGCTCATATTGTTTTGTCCATTTTCAGATGTCCTTCCTACCCCCTTGACTATCTTTACCTTTGAATGTTCTACCCTCTTTTTAAACCACAATTCATTGTCACTTTTTATGTCTGAAGCTTCTTCTTTCCCTTAGAACCTTATACCAAATAGCCCTTAGCCTGTTTGGTCTTACATTATAGTGATTAGAGGGCTGTGTATGCATTGCCCCTTCCTCTTCTCACCTATTCCTCAACAGATTATAAATGTCTTGACATAGGTGACTATGTGCCTATATTCACTTTGTAACTGAGTGGTGCCTTGCTACTAGTAGTCAAGGAATAATTGCTTGAATTTGTCACTTAATTGTAGTGACTGTCTGCTGTGTCCCCTAATTGCTGAGAGGATTAGCCCCTTTCTCCCCAAAAAAAGGAGAAAGTGGTATGGAAATAGAACCACAGAGGGAAAACCTCGTATAGAAGATGAACCAGGCCCGCTGCAGTGGCTCACGCCTGTAATCCCAGCACTTTGGGAGGTTGAGGAGGGTGGATCGCTGGAGCCCAGGAGTTCAAAACCAGCCTGGGCAATAAGGCGAAACCCTGTCTCTACAAAAAATACAAAAATTAGTCGGACATGGTGGTGTGCGCCTATAGTCATCCCAGGTACTCGGGAGGCTGAGGCACGAGAATCGCTTGAATCGGGAGGCAGAGGTTGCAGTGAACCGAGATTGTGCCACTGCACTCCAGCCTGGGCAACACAGGTAGAGTCTATCTCAAAGAAATAAAATAAAAATATAAATAGAAGATGAACTTAAAGAAAGGGTAGAGTTTAGGGAGCTGGACAGGCATTATTGGGGAGAGATGAAGAGAAATGAGAGAAGTAGCGTATACTATATTTCATTATTAATGAAATTGGTCTATTTTTACTGAAAAGAGATACTCGGCTTACAATTTTCACCTAAGCTTTACATTTTTTATTTTTGTTGTTTTTGTTTCCGCAGGTACAAGAAAATTCCCCAGGACACAGAGCTGGATTGGAGCCTTTCTTTGATTTTATTGTTTCTATTAATGGTTCAAGATTAGTAAGTTCAACTTTTTGTAGTTTTGTCTATAGTATTTGTAATATCTCAAAAATGGAATTTTTTAGATGATCTGAGATGGGTGTTTATTAGTTACAATCATTCTGTATAGTATGATGCCAGTTTATAGAAATAATCATGTATTAAAAACATTGAAATATCTAGAATATTATACCTTATGCTCCACTGATTATCTTAGGGAAGTCTCCAGAATCAGTGGAGTCTTTTATATGTTAAATATTTAATTTTCATAAGCAGAAAGAAATAAGATGTAAAAGATTGCTTTTTAAAGATGTCAGACTTCTGTTGGTTATTGACAAACGAATTAGTAGAAAGATTCATTCTCTCATCTCATTCTCTCAAATTGTCAGTTCTCTTGGTGCTAAGTTTTACAATATACAAATAATGTTATTAGAACCAGACAGAGAGACATGCTCCAAAGTACAAAATTAAAACCACTTTTTATACCTTTTTTAGAGTTTACCCATAATAAAGTTCTAAGATAAGGAAATTACATAATCTCAGCAGATTCTTAGGACAGTAGCCACTTGGTTTAATTTTTTATAACAGTCTGAAGTTTTTGTTCATTACTTATAACATCTCTGACATACAAATAAAGGCCAGATGTTGGCCTTTATTTATATGTCATCTGGCCTTTATTTATGAGATGAAATACTTAATATACTGTTTCTACTTTCTAAATAAAGTATGTAGTTAGAAATAGAGTCCAAAATTAAGGCCGGGCGCGGTGGCTCAAGCCTGTAATCCCAGCACTTTGGGAGGCCGAGACGGGCGGATCACGAGGTCAGGAGATCGAGACCATCCTGGCTAACACGGTGAAACCCCGTCTCTACTAAAAAAAAAAATACAAAAAAAAAAAAAAAACAACAAAATTAAACGTTAACCCCAGTAAATGTTTTAGATTTTTATAATCAAAGTTATCACAACTTCGTTAGTAATGTGACTTTTTATGGCATATTTTGTTTTTACACATTGAAGCCCTAGATCATTCTAAATAATGTTGGGTTGCAAATTCCATAATCCATAGTGAGCTATTAGAAAAAAGTCAGTTTCAAGTTGTTGCTAACATAAGAGTTGTTCTTAATTTCGTGACATTCCTTTTACATAGGAAAATTTAAATGGTGAAACCTTTGTTGAATGTTTTATTTATGTTGATTATTAATATTACTCTTTTAGGGCCATAGGATGCTTAAGCTAACATTAAATTTTTATTTACTAAGGAATGTGATTTCTATATGTTCACAGAATAAAGACAATGACACTCTTAAGGATCTGCTGAAAGCAAACGTTGAAAAGCCTGTAAAAATGCTTATCTATAGCAGCAAAACATTGGAGCTGCGAGAGACCTCAGTCACACCAAGTAACCTGTGGGGCGGCCAGGGCTTACTGGGAGTGAGCATTCGTTTCTGCAGCTTTGATGGGGCAAATGAAAATGTTTGGCATGTGTTGGTAGGTATCAACTGTGAACTGTTACTGGAGGTTCATGAAGCAGTGTGGAAAGATGTTTTAACAATGGTTGTTTCTGGCTTAATAAGATTATAAGGATATTATTATTAGGCAATTTTTACCAAAAATCAGCATTCATTGCTTTTTAAATGTGGAACAATTTTTTTTTAAGTTGAGGAAGAGAAGGAAATGTAGAAGTTCAAGAACTTTTTCTAATGATTTATTCATTATGAGATGTGTTAGAGTAGATAGCTACAAAAATATTTTAAATATTAAATATTATGTAATTTTTTTGCTCAGAAGTTTAAAATATATTCTGTAGTTTCTGACATATGACACATCTCTAGCAAGATAGAAGTATACAGATTTAAAAAATCAATATAATTAAAAATTGTGACTAAACCTTGGAAGATTATATATGCTAATTTTAGGGTATGTGTTTGTGTCATTCTAGGAAGTGGAATCAAATTCTCCTGCAGCACTGGCAGGTCTTAGACCACACAGTGATTATATCATTGGAGCAGATACAGTCATGAATGAGGTAATTCGTGTGTTTGTTCATAGTGAAAACTATATAAAATTTTCTCATCGATGCTTGAGTTGGGAAAGATATTTGCATGCTTTGCATTTAGAGTTAAAGTTTCAGTCTTTGCCGATCAAGAATAACTTATGCCTCAGGGTGTTAAATGGAACATCTGGTAGGTGTCTTATTAGGTATAGCTGTGAGGGAAAACACATACTGTGTGGCAATTGCACAGATTTTGTGTGTAGTATACAGAAATCTCTGCATACCTCAAGTCTAAATCAAATTCTCATTTTCAATTGTTCATTGATTTCATTTGCTCTTCCCCTTTTTGTTCAGTGACAGCATTCGCGCAGCTATAGTAGATCCTTTTCCTTGTCTGTTAGCTAGCAGAAGTATACATTGCTAAATCAAAAATGAGAGAAAAGGCTGGGCACAGTGGCTCATGCTTGTCATCTCAGCACTTTGGGAGCCTGAGATGGGAGAATTACTTGAGCTCAGGAGTTCGAGACCAGTCTGGGACCTTGTAGTGAGACCTTGTCTCTACAACAAATACAAAAATTAGCCAGGCATGGTGGTGCATGCCTGTAGTCCCAGCTACCTGGGAGGCTGAGGTGGAAGGATCACTTGAGCCTGAGAGGTTGAGGCTGCAGTGAGCCAAAATCATGACACTGCATTCTAGCCCAGGCAACAGTTAGAGAGACCCTGTCTCCAAAAAAAAAAAAAGAGTGAGAAATAAGGTGCCCAGACAACCAGGTCTTAATAATGGGAAGTAAAAGCAGAATATGTAGAACTTGGGTATAAAAGAATTGTACTAAGAGTGCCAACTAGATCTTAAGGAACTGGCCATAAAGCCTTGTATGTAGTAAGTAGGCTTTGCTTGAATTAATATATTGAATTAAACGTGCTTGGTGTATTGGTTTTAAGAAGTGATTTTTATGTCTAGGGCAGGGCCCAGAATCCATATTTTTTTCTTAGGTTTCTCAGGTGATTCTGATAGTAGCCAGGTTTGAGACACACTGTTCCAAAGTACAGTAACATGAAACATTTTCCTCCTGTGACACTTTTGCAGTCTGAAGATCTATTCAGCCTTATTGAAACACATGAAGCAAAACCATTGAAACTTTATGTGTACAACACAGACACTGATAACTGTCGAGAAGTGATTATTACACCAAATTCTGCATGGGGTGGAGAAGGCAGGTAAGGTCATTTTTTAGACTAAGTTATTACTGCTTAAACATACCAGTCAGATATGTTGTAAACATTGTTTTTATTTTGAAAGAAGTTATTGGTTTATTGTAAGACTCCTCTTAAAAAAGGGAAGAGCTAGTCTAGAATATTGAAATCAATTTTTTTAAAGTACATATCTAAGGAACATAGTATACATACTATAGTCCTTTTCTTTACTGACCTAAGAGCTAACAGCATTTCTTTTTTAATTTGAGAAATTATTGAACATAAGCCATAATTATAGAAAAGCCTAGACTTTGGAAACTTTCCACATGTTTTCAAAAGTTCTAATCCCATGCTGGGAAAAGGATAACTTAGTTGCTGCAGGCAGGAAAAGCCTCCATTTGCTCACAGTATCTTTACCAACACTACCTGAGATTCTCCAGCTGAATGTTTTGCCACAAGTATTCTAACTTGTTGCAGTTTGAGAAAAGTAAGATAGATGTGTCATCCAAGAGTCTGGCCTATCTGGGGCAGTACTTGATCAAATTGTCATTGTCCATTGCCCAGGTTTGTAAATGCCCAGAAATATGATCTACTCGAGGCATTCAAAATTTATTCATTAGAAGAGGCACTTCCTCATATAAACTAAATTTGCAGAGAAGCTGCTGTATTTATTTGAATAGCAAATTTTCAGTTTGCAGTAGAAAAATACCCCCTCTCCAGTTAGAAGAATACTCAAGTCAGATTAGTACCACGGGAGTGCCTGGTAAGCATGGAATCAACTGGAGGAAGAGATTCTGTGGACAGTCAAGACCAACGGCAAAGAACATCACATATTCTTTCATTTTTAATTATGTTAACTAAATTTGGCTACATTCTTTGGAAGACATTTTTTCTTTTGATGTGTTTAATACTGTCAATTGGCCATTGCATTAGCTAGGCCCATACAGAACATTTTCCTCAGTCTGCCTCTGACCTTGCATCTGGTCTTTTTGTGCCTCTTTAATTCCTTCCTCAGAGGCTGACCACATTTCATTTATTAAATCTTATTTCTCTTAATTTCATTCTTAGGCTATCTTTACGTTTGGCCAGGGTCTTGCTGTTGCCTCAAGTGCATTGTCTATTACCACTTAATTACTTTGATCAATAAGCACCTTGTTTTCAAATGTAGCTACCCCTGAAAGGCCATAATTGGTTAATATAAATTATTTAATCTAAATAATATAAATTATTTCTCTAAATCTATGTGAGATCCAGTCTAGTGAGAATTGCAGGGTTTTGTTTGTTTGGAGACAGGATCTTGCTGTCTCCGCTGGAGCACAATCATAGTTCACTGCAGCCTTTAACTCCTGGGCTCAAGCTGTCCTCCTGCCTCAGCTTCCTGAGTACCTGGGACTACAGGTGTACACACTGTACTCGTTTAATGTAGAAACTCTTCTTTAGAGATGGGGCCTTGCTTTGTTTCCCAGGCTAGTCTTGAACTCCTCACTTCAAGCAATCTTCCCACCTTGGCCTCCCAAAGTCCTGGGATTACAGGTGTGAGCCTCCATGCCTGGCTGAATTGCAGTTTTGATTGTGAGAGAAGAAGGAACAAATAACCGTAAGATGAAGCATCATTGTGCACGTCAGACTGGTTAAAGAGGAGCTAGGCCTGGCATGGTGGCTCACGCCTGTAATGCTACCGCTTTGGGAGGCTGAGGCAGGTGGATCACTTGAACTCAGGAGTTCAGTACCAGCCTGGGCAACCTGATGAACCCTTGTCTCTACAAAAAATACAAAAATTAGCCGGACGTGGTGGCACGCGCCTGTAGTCCCAGCTACTCAGGAAGCTGAGGTGGGAGGATTGCTTGAGCCCAGGAGGCAGAGATTGCAGTGAGCCAAGATCATGCCACTGCACTACAGCCTGGGCAACAGAATAATAAATTGTCTTGTAAATAAATAAATTAATTAATTAATTAAAAAGAGCTGCAGTTGGCCACTGCCTGCTCACCCAGCCTTTGGTGGCAGTGGAGACAATAGATGGTGTGGCAGGAGAAAGGCACAGAGATATTCATGCATGGCCTACTCCGAAAGTGTCAAGTTGTTTGGGAAATAAAAGCCATCATGATGGAAACATAAGTCGAAACCTGATTGTAGAGAGCCTTAAATACCACGGTCAGGACTTCTGATATATTTTGAGCAGTTGAGGCTGTGATAATTGTATCAGTAGGGGGTTTTGGGTTCAAATGGTAAAAACCAGCTGTCACCATCATAAGCAGGTAACATACTTATTGATATGGATTAGCTCATATAATCAAGGAAACAGCTTAAGAACCAGATGTAGAAAGGACAGGACTCAGAAAACCTCTAGGGATTTAGATAGGAAGAAGTATTTGGCAATGTCATCAGCATTCATTCTACTAAAGCCATTTTTGTTTTTTCTCTGACTCCCAAGGTTTGCAGCCATGGGCAAGAGAAATTGGCCTGGCTTTGACCATGAGCCATGCCCTTGGTTTGGGCAGGGCAGACACTCTGATTGACAGTCCTACCAGCACTGCACACAACAGCAGAGAAGTAATTCCCCAAAGGGAGGAAAGAGAAAGGAATGTTGAGAAGACATCAGACTAGAAAGAAGCAATGTGATCACATCTTACTAGAAAAATGCCTCTGGTGGCAGTGGGAGGATGAAATAGAAGTATGTTCAATCTGGGTTGAACATACATGACTGATTTGTGTCAGGGTTCTGAAAGAGAACTATGGAATGTGTAAATGATGTCATCATGCAGAAGTGCTTAGAGCTCTTCAGTGGAAAGGCTGTATATATGTCATTCATTTAGCAAATAATCATCAAATGTCTGCCATGTGCCAGCAGCTATGGAGGCAGTTAACAGACAAGGTCTCTGTCCTTAAGGATCTTAACATTTTGTTGGGGGAGATAGATAGTAAATAAATATGCAGTGTGTTGGATGGTGATGAATGCTTGAAAAATAAAGGAGTAAGGGTGGTATCCACAGTGGAGGGAAGGGTGCTGTTTTCTGTGGGGTGGTCTGGGACCTCTGCTTAGATGACATTATCTAAAAGAATAGAAATTTGTTTTTATCTTAAAATCTCAAAGAAGGGAGTGCATGTTCAGGGCAACTTGAATCTATGCTCTTGGGTTACCCCCCCTAAAAAAAAAAAACACCTCAAAGAAATACAAGCTGTGATTGATAACAATGTTAAGAAAAAAATGTTTTTATAGCCTAGGATGTGGCATTGGATATGGTTATTTGCATCGAATACCTACACGCCCGTTTGAAGAAGGAAAGAAAATTTCTCTTCCAGGACAAATGGCTGGTACACCTATTACACCTCTTAAAGATGGGTTTACAGAGGTAAGGTCACATTCTTACCTGAATATATCATAAAGTTTTTACCAAAACAAGTCATGTGTTTAGTGTATATGGCAGTAGCACTATGAAATAGGGTAGACGATGAGTTAAGTATTGATTGTGTTAAATTTGAGGTTCCGGTAAGATACCTAGATAGAGGTGAGATACATGAGTCTGGGTTATAGGAAAAAGGACAGGGCTAGAGATGCAGATGTGGGAATCATCAGCAAAGAGAGGGTAATGTAACCCAGTGGCTGTTAGGACAGCTGTACAGCTAGGGACTGGGTCTGGGCGGGTCGCCATCTTGAAAATCTGGATGGGCAGAGATCTAGCAAAGGAACGTCAGCAGGAGGCCAGAGGGAAAACCAAGCTTCAAGAAATCGGACACAGTCGGCCATGTCAGGTACTGCAGAGAAGTTAGGTGAAAGGAGTGAAAAAACCATGTCCTGGGCAAGAGCAATTTCAGAGACTTGCCAGGGGACAAATGCAAATTGCAGGTCAGCAGAGTGAATAGGTAAAAAGGTGCTGCTAGCTGTTGCTTATTGTTTCAAGAAACGATTGAGAAAACAAGGAGAGCTATGTGTGTGGGGGTCATGAGGGGAGTGAAGGGGCTATTATAGGATCAAAGTAAGACTTTTCAAGGAATAAGAGAGATTTGAACAGGCTTATAGGGTTTTTGAATGTTTCTTAAGGAGGCATCTCAGGGCAGTTAACTCTTGTCTGCATAACTAAATAAAAACCAAACACCCAAAAAAGAAAATGCTGCTGTTGTAAAAACAGGGCTGCTGCCACTGTGGTTTTGTCTACACAGTTTGGCCATCTTCAATTCTAGAGGAAGGAAAGAAGAACTGCTGAGAAGTTTCACCTCCAACATTGGCTCATGGCCAGAGCCAATATGGTTACATGTTCAGACCCCAGCCACCATATCCACTGGCCCTAATCAGGGCTTTCCCAGTTGAACCTCTTTGGGTAGTCTGAGAAGATGAGAGAGTGACTAGCAGCTAGGCAAAGGGTGGGAATACAGGTTGTCTCGGAATGTACTGAAGGGCACTGGAGCTGCTGCAGACGGTGGATTATTCAGAAATGAAACCACCCATCTGTAGAGTCCATATAGACTCCTTTTTTTCTTCTCCTGAAAAGTGGAGATCTGCCTGCTACATTTATTCACTGATGAGAAGAATATTAAATGCACTCATGAGGTTGGAAATCTTGAGAAGTCTATCATGTATTAAGACTTCCAGCTGATTTCTTTCCTGAGCAGTGAAAGTTAAAACAAATAAACCAGCTGGGAATTCAGACAGAAGAGGAAAGCAGTGGTGGTTTAAAGGTTGAATAAAATGATTTCCAGGTGGTAAGGAAAGAGGAGAGAGTAGAATCTCTTCTAGTGTGGAAGTATCAAGAGCAGTGTGTGCAACTTGGGGTAGAAGCCATGTGTCCCAAGACTAGAAGTGACAGGACAGAGAGATGCTTACAGTACATGGGCCGTGACATGTACCAAAATTAGGAGGGAGGGTCTGGAGGCAGATGTGCCAAATGAAGCTTATGACAGCTCATATGTGAACCAAATATGTATCTGCAGGGCAGGTAAGAGCCAATATTTATATTTTCTTTTAAATAAACTTAAGTAATCTTCGTGTTTTTTTTTTCTCTTTTTGGAAGGTCCAGCTGTCCTCAGTTAATCCCCCGTCTTTGTCACCACCAGGAACTACAGGAATTGAACAGAGTCTGGCTGGACTTTCTATTAGCTCAACTCCACCAGCTGTCAGTAGTGTTCTCAGTACAGGTGTGCAGAAAAATATATTCTGTTTTGAGTCTATTTTATGTAATATTATTGCATAGAATTTTAAAAATTGACCAGACACAGTGGCTCACACCTGTAATCCCAGCACTTTTGGAGGCCAAGACTGGAGGATTGGTTGAGCTCAGGAATTCTAGACCAGCATGGGCAATACAGTGGAACCCTGTCTCTCCAAAAAAAATTTTTTTTTAATTAGCCGGTGTGGTGTGCACCTGTAGTCCCAGCTACTCGAGAGGCTGAGATGGGAGGATTGCTTGAGCCTCGGAGGTTGTGGCGGCAGTGAGCTGTGATTGTGCCACTGCATTCCAGCCTGGTTGACAGAGTGAGACCCTGTCTCAAAAAAAAGAATTTAAAAAATTAATGCCAGTGTACCTTGAAAACTACATATATACTCTGTGTTGACAGGTACTGGCTGTGAAAGCTTGTTCTAAATCACCATGTGGATACACATGGGGCTTAAAAGTCTTCCCTGCATATTTTAGACCCTGAGCTTTCCTTAGATTCTACAACTTGTAAAGCCAGAACTCTTGACTTGAAATTCTGTTTAACTGCTCTGGTTACTCAACACATTTGCGTGTTTCTGAAGTAGTAGGCACTGGGGATGCAAAAGTGAGTAGGAGCTCCTTTCTGAGGAGCTCAGTCTTGCTTAGGGGACATGTGCCTGTCTCCTTCCTTTTCTTTTTTTTTTTTTTTGAAACAGAGTTTCACTCTTTTTGCCCAGGCTGGAGTGCAATGGCATGGTCTTGGCTTACTGCAACCTCTGCCTCCCGGGTTCAAGCGATTCTTATGCCTCAGCCTCCCGAGTGTCAGGGATTACAGGCACGTGCCACCATACGGCGACCAATTTTTGTATTTTTAGTAGAGACAGGGTTCGCCACATTGCCCAGGCTGGTCTTGAACTCCTGATCTCAGGTGATCTGCCCTCCTCAGCCTCCCAAAGTGCTGGGATTACAAGCGTGAGCCACTGTACCCAGCCTCTTTCCTTTTCTTCATCCCTTGTTCTACCTGATATAGTCCTTTTTGTTTATTTTGTGTTTTATTTATTTATTTATTTTTGATAGCTTTCTAAAGATAAAATGCATATTACCATACAATTCACCTGCTTAAAGTATACAATCCAGTATTTTTTTAGTGTATTTGTTGAGTTGTACAACCAATAACCTCAATCAGTTTCAGAATAATTTATCACATCAAAAGAAACTCTGTACCCATTATCAGTTTTTCTAAAGTTTTTAGTTTTCATGTTTTTGTAGGGATGGGGTCTCTCTGTTGCCCAGGCTGGTCTCTAAGTCCTGGCCTCAAGTGATCATCCTGCCTTGGCCTCCCAAATTGTTGGAATTACAGGTGCGAGCCATGGCTGCTAGCCTCATTATTACCTTTTGTTCCTGGGCTCTCTTAAATATTTATATTCACAATTTGTTTATATCCCACTTTGTTCTGTAATGGACTTAAAACAGCCTACCAAGATGCAGTAGTAAGGTTGACAGTTTGGTGTCTATAATTGGTCTCCTAGGTTCTCATCCCAGCTCTTTAGTCCTGGTTTTATTTCTCCAGATGAAATTTAAAATTTCAAACTTATACAAAAGAGCTGGCATTGTATAATGAACCCCATCACCCAATTTTATCAATTATCAATATTGGGATATACTTACCTTTGCCTTCTTTGCTGGTTTTCTTTTTTTCCAGCTTTATCGATAAATAATTTGCATGCCATAAATTAATTCACAATAAGTAAACAACTAAATAATTTTTAGTATATTCATAGAATTGTGCAGTCATCACCACAATCCAGTTTTAGAATACTTCCTAGATGAAATTAAATATTAATGTCATCAGTCTCTAATCATAGAGTTGAAAGGGAATTTAGAGTTTATTTCATTCAAGCAGTATAAGTCCTTTTTATGATATTACAATTTTTTGCCTACATCTCATCACATAATTCTCTGGTTTATTCCTGAATAGACTTAGTAAGGGGTAGGGTAGTGTACTTCCCAAGGCAGCAGCCCATTCTGAGTCTGAATTACTCGTATTTGTTTTAGAGTAAGCGTGTTCCAGATGCTTTTTTTTTTTATTATTGTACTTTTTATTTTTTAGATAGAGTCTCACTCTGTTGCCCAGGCAGGCTGGAGTGCAGTGGCACTATCTTTGCCCACTGCAACCTCTGGCTCCCAGGTTCAAGCAGTTCTCCTGCCTCAGCCTCCCCAAGTAGCCATGATTGATTATAGGCACGTGCCACCACACCCAGCTAATTTTTGTATTTTTAGTAGAGATGGGGTTTTGCTATGTTGGCCAGGCTGGTCTCAAACTCCTGACCCCAGGTGACCCACCCGCCTCTGCCTCCCAAAGTGCTGGGATTACAGGCATGAGCCACTGTGCCCGGCCCTTTTCTTTGAGGTAGAGTTTCGCTCTTGTTGCCCAGGCTGTAGCACAATGGCGCGATCTCAGCTCACTGCACCCTCTGCCTCCCGGGTTCAAGCAATTCTCCTGCCTCAGCCTCCCGAGTAGCTGGGACTACAGGCGTGCACCACCATGCCTGGCTAATTTTTTGTATTTTTAGTAGAGACGGCATTTCACCATTTTGGGCTGGTCTCGAACTCCTGACCTTAGGTGATCCACCCGCCTCAGCCTCCCAAAGTGCTGGAATTACAGGCATGAGCCATTGCGCCTGGCCCCAGATACACTTCTGATTTTAGGAGATAGTTGTCATGTCTCTTCAAGCCCCAGTTTCTCTTTGACATTTTAAATCTTTTCTCATTACATTGTAGTTATACTTGTATTGTCTTTTAAGCGCATGCACAGAGATCCCTGGCTTATGGCACTGCAGAGAAATGGCTGCTTGACGGTTAAAGACAAATGTAAATAAAGCATGAATTGCTCAAAAGAGACTGAAAGAAATTGACGTCATCCCTTTTGAGTAAATAAATTTAAAAAGACTAAAATATTCTAGCATCATAACACGTGAGGAACAACTTTTTTATGGGCATTTTTCCATCTTCACTTTTCGTTACGTTGCTTGCAAATTAGCCCATACATTGTAACATAATGTAATATAATAGCCCATATAATGTAACTGTAGAGATATAAAAGTAACTGTAGAGAAATAAAAGTATATGTCTTTTTAAACTTTTTTGTGGATTTGAAGATTTCTGGATTATAAAATTTTTTAGAAAATGACTACGATTTTGAAGTGGCATTGATCATTGTGACCTGCTTGATTTTTCTGCAGTGTATCACCTTTTTCCTTTTTTTTTTTTTTTGAGACGGAGTCTTGCTCTGTCGCCCAGGCTGTAGTGCAGTGGCATGATCTTGGCTCACTGCAACCTCTACCTCCCGGGTTCAAGTGATTCTCCTGCCTCAGCCTCCCAAGTAGCTGGGATTACAGGTGCTCACCACCATGCCCAGTTAATTTTGTATTTTTAGTAGAGACAGGGTTTCACCATGTTGCCCAAGCTGATCTTGAACCACTGACCTCAGGTGACCCGCCTGCCTCACCTTCCCAAAGTGCTGGGATTACAGGCATGAACCACCGTGCGTGGCCCGAGTGTATCACCATTTTACATGCTATGTATTTTATTTATTTGATCTTTCTCCTTTCCTTTTCCTGCCCCTCATTAGAATGGAAATTTCCTGAAGGTTCTGATTTCTGTTTTCTTCATGTTGTAAAGTGCCTCAGTGCCTAGAACAATGTGTAACATACAGTAGGTGCCCCCCAAAAAACTTGAACGAATGACCACACTCAACTGTCCATTCAGCTCCTTTGAGAATCTGATGAAAGTAAAGAACCTGCCTTCCAAAAATTGTTGTATACAATTTTAGGAGCTTCACAGACCTTCTGAAGCCCGTTTATGGGCCCTAGATTTAGAATTCCTGGCTTAGATTTAGTCAGTTATTTTTGAGACTTGTGAATGTATCTATCCTTTGAGAATGAAAAGAGCTGGATGCAGTGGCTCACGCCTGTAATCCCAGCACTTTGGGAAGCCAACGCGGGCGGATCACGAGGTCAGGAAATCGAGACCATCCTGGCTAACATGGTGAAACCCCATCTCTACTAAAAATACAAAGTATTAGCCGGGCGTGCTGGCGGGCGCCTGTAGTCCCAGCTACTCGAGAGGCTGAGGCAGGAGAATGGCGTGAACCCGGGAGGCAGAGCTTGCAGTGAGCCGAGATTGTGCCACTGCACTCCAGCCTGGGTGACAGAGGGAGACTCCGTCTCAAACAAACAAACAAAAAAAAGAATGAAAGAAACTTACGTGAAAGATTTTATTGGGAAATAGAAGAAATTTGCTTAACCAATCCAAGCTGCTTTTATTTTCTTAAAACCGAGATTTCAAAACAAATATTAAAAAATTATAGCATTGCTATTGTGTTTGACCACTTACGAAGTGCACACTCACTAACACTTTGGTACAGACTAGAAAACAGCTTCTTATATTTGAGTGAAATTATACAGTCTGGGAGCTAATAGAGCATTTGCCAGTGTTTCAGTTAGACTTTTTTCTTATTTTTGCTTGCCTCTGAATTCCACAGAAAAGTAGATAAATGAATAAATAATAGACTGCCTGCATGGTTGGTTCATACTTTTAGGCACAATTTATTCCCGCTACCATATTTAAGCAGATCTGTAAGACAAAATCTGGAATCTGTGTGCTAGATAAGTGAAAATGAATGCTAAATAGGTGAAAGATGTGCTTTCATTTATTGTTTCGACATCAGCAAAACCTCGCACTGGGGTAGGTGGTAAACATGATTAGGTGGTATCCTAAGGCTTGTACATGAAGAACATAACCTCCTCAAGCTAACGTTAGTACACATGGAAATGTGTTAGACTTCGAAGGACTGTCACAGAACCTAAGGTCAAAAGGAAATGGACATTCAGGAAGCCAAGTCATTCTCTTCATCCTAGAGGTTCATGTGCTCTTTTGTCTCTTTCAAGCCACCTATGTCATTCTCTTCTTTCACAGACCAGCATTCACTGTTTCACAGGGCACATGGTCCCCCTGCAACCCCCGACTTAACATGGCATCTTAGTTTAGGAGCCCAGTTGAGATTGACTAGAATCCTTGTGTCCCATATACAAATGTCTAAGACAGTTTTCTAATCCAGCCCTGCTTGGGTCAGTTGTAAACCTCTTGTCCAGTGAGCTGGGCTGGGGTGGGACTGCACGGCCTCCTGCCTTCTTGTCACAGGCTCTGGTAACAGCCTTTGTTGAGAGCCATGGGCAGAGTTAGTGGATCTGCAGTAAAGGGTGGTGGACAGTCAGTTGCAGCTGGAAATCGGGACCAAATGAAGACCTGACCACAGGGCAAGAAGGGACTGCAGATTGTCCTAACGTGTTCTGTTCATTTTTTGTCAACTAAATTTGTTAGAGATGAAAAGATTGTGCTTTCTTTTTAGGTGTACCAACAGTACCGTTATTGCCACCACAAGTAAACCAGTCCCTCACTTCTGTGCCACCAATGAACCCAGCTACTACTTTACCAGGTAACCACCAGGGGACTAGAGATGTGGCTGTTGATAACAGTATTACTGATATTTGCATCTTTAGAACAATGAAAAATATTCTACCTATGTCATAACTTTTTATGTCTTTTAATCTCAATTTATCTCTGCAATAAGTTTGTGATAAATGAGAGCTAGGGCAGCTCTCCTTAGTAGACAGGCATATGCCACCACACCCAGCTAATTTTTGTATTTTTAGTAGAGATGGGGTTTTGCTATGTTGGCCAGGCTGGTCTCAAACTCCTGACCTCAGGTGACCCGCCCGCCTCTGCCTCCTAAAGTGCTAGGATTACAGGCATGAGCCACTATGCCCGGCCCTTTTTTTTGAGGCAGAGTTTCGCTCTTGTTGCCCAGGCTGGAGTGCAATGGCACGATCTCAGCTCACTGCACCCTCCGCCTCCCAGGTTCAAGCGATTCTCCTGCCTCAGCCTCCCTGGTAGCTGGGACTACAGGTGCGTGCCATTTACCAGCTAGTTAGCTGCCGAGCGTAGTGCTCCTTACCCTGGCCAGCGGCCACCTGCTGCCCCTGCAGTACCACAGTGCAGCATACGCCAGGAATAAGGAATCTGCAGAAGTCCATTCTCCATTGTCTCCTTAGTGAGGACTTCCTGACAGTCATTCGTGGGAGCCTAGAAGAGAAGGCTTCTTATTTGGCCTTTAGTAGCTCTAACATTAAATTAAATTTTTGTGTTTTTCTCTTCATATTCCCAGTGAAGACCAAGTTCCTTTATCCAGCCAATAATAATCAAATATTATTTTAGTGATCAAATATACTTTCATTGTGAGCGCTTTTAATGTATGACTAAAAGTGTCATTATCCAAGCATATTAAGCCATGAACCAAATATGTGCACACACAGAATGATGAAGCAAGTGTGCTGATACATGGACATGGGAATTTGGGTGAAAGGTGGATTCTTTTTACTACTTTTGCAACTGTAAGTCTGCAAATATTTTTCAGAATAAGAAATTTAAAAAGTCATAGAGACTGTAAACCTCAACCATCAAAGAAAAATTCAGTTTCATTGTCTTCTATATCTACTGAAACAAATCAGCCTTTTCTCCAAGTCACTCGGGCCATCATCATTCTTACTCCAGAGTGTTAAGAGTATTATTTATTTTCATCTTTACCCATTTAGCCACCTAATCTAATCACTTAGGTAGAGAAATATATTTCAGTTAAGTGAAATTTCGTTGCATTATGATTATGATACAAAACTGCTACACGTTAGGTGGACTTCTGGTACTGTCACTTAGAAGTGGCTGGGATTGTTTTTAATACACAAGGATTTATTTCTTCCCCAGGTCAAGTGATTTCCCTTTTTTTCTTTTCTGCCTTCTCTTCAGGTCTGATGCCTTTACCAGCAGGACTGCCCAACCTCCCCAGCCTCAACCTCAACCTCCCAGCACCACACATCATGCCAGGGGTTGGCTTACCCGAACTTGTAAACCCAGGTATGTTGCAGATCTCACCCTCCTAGGACTTTCTCTCATAAAAGTTTTATTCAGGAATGCCCATCCTCCTCAATTTTTTCTGAAAAGAGCAAATCAGTTTAACAGATTTCAGCTACTTCGAATAAATATTCATCTTTTTTGTTTAAAAAGCTTAAGAGGATCATGCCTGTAATCCCAGCACTTTGGGAGGCCGAGGTGAGTGGATCACCTGAGGTTAGGAGTTCAAGACCAGCCTGGCCAACATGGCAAAACCCCGTCTCTACTGAAAAAATATAAACATTAGCCGGGCATAGTGGCAAGTGCCTGTAGTCCCAGCTATGCAGGAGGTGGAGACAGAAGAATCACACTACTGCACTCCAGCCTGGGCAATAGAGCAAGACTTAATCTCAAAAAAAAAAAAAAGCTTAAGAGGAAAGAAGAATGTTTCTGAGTCCCTGCTGCCTCTCCTCCTCCTCCCGCTCCTCCTCCTATCTCTGCACCCTGATGGCTTAGCCTCAAAAGCCAGGGTAGCAATAAAGCACAGTGGCGTGGCCCTGCTGCATTGACTTTAATGAAGGTATGCAGGCTGCCTAGTGGAGGTGAGTGAATTCCCCGCCATTCTCTTCATATTTGGAGCCGCTGCCACTGGGGAAGTAGTGGAGCCTGTTGTGCGTAGCCCAAGCCCAGAAATTATGCCATAAAACGTCTCCCCTGCTCAGCTGACTGGGCTTGTATTTTTTGTTTTGTTTAGTTTTTTCGAGATAGAGTCTTGCTTTATCACCCAGGCTGAAGTACAGTGGCACGATCTGGGCTCATTGCAATCTCTACCTCCCAGGATCAAGCCATCCTCTCACCTCATCCTCCCAAGTAGCTGGGACTACATGCACACACCACCACACCTGGCTAATTTTTTGTATTTTTGTAGAGACTGGGTTTCACCATGTTGCCCAGGCTGGTCTTGAACTCCTGGGCTCAGGCAATCTTCCTGCTTTGGCCTCCCAATGTGCCCAGCCAATATTCTTCTTTTTTTAAAAAATGTATATATATAAAAACAAAACAAACGTGAATATCTTCCATTATTTATAAATGCTTTTATACTTAAAACTATGGGAAATGTTAACTGGACATGTCTAAGGTAGCAGATATTCCAAGTGTCTACACTCAGATTTTCTGTCTGAAAATGAAGGAGCAGCGTCCTACGAGTCCGTGTGGTTAATGATCACCCAGCATACCTTAAGCTTTGGGAGGCCTGACTTACTAGGCCATCTCAGTAGTTTGGCCCATCAGTGATGCCAGTGAGTGATCTTACAGCACCATGGTGTGCATCGTCACCGTCTTGTTTCTGTCTAGATGAGAATTACCCCTCTTGTAACACTCAACATCTGTATATATTCCTTAACCTACTTAGTTTTCAGGCCAAAGGTTTAAAAATGAAGTACTAGGCCAGGCACAGTGGCGCATGCCTATAATCCCAGCACTTTGGGAGGCCAAAGTGGGTAGATCACCTGAGGTCAGGAGTTCAAGACCAGCCTGACCAACATGGTGAAACCCTGTCTCTGTTAAAAATACAAAGAGTAGCTGGGCATGGTGGCAGGTGCCTGTAGTCCCAGCTGCTCGGGAAGGTGAGGCAGGAGAATCGCTTGAACCCAGGAGGCGGAGGTTGTAGTGAGCTGAGATCGCACCACTACACTCCAGCCTGGGTGACAGAATGAGACTCTGTCTCAAAATAAATAAATAAATAAAAATAAAAATGAAGTACCAGTAGTAGTCAAACTACCATTTACTGTCGCAGCGCTCACCCCACCTTTTGTGCCCTGTATTCTTGGCTCCTCCTCTGCCCCTTCCCTAAATTTGACAGACTCTGAGTAGTTTCACCAGCTGGTGGTTGCCCTGAACCTGTGCTTTATACCCTGCCTTTCCTTTGTTTCTTGAAATAATTCTCCTTTCCTTCATTATGCATTTTAATTTTTTTTTTTTTTTTTTTTTTTTGAGACAGAGTCTCACTTTGTTGTTCAGGCTGGAGTGCAGTGGTGTAATCTCATTTCACTGCACCCTCCACCTGGGTTCAAGCAGTCCTCCCACCTCAGTGGCGTTGTAGTCTCTAGTAGCTGGGACCACAGATGTGTGCCACCATGCCCAGCTACTTTTTGTATTTTTTTTAGTAGAGACGAGGTTTTGCCGTGTTGCCTAGGCTGGTCGCCAACTCCTGGGCTCAAGTGATCCTCCCGCCTTGGCCTCCCAAAATGCTGGGGTTACAGGCGTGACCCACCACACCTGGCCTTGCATTTTAAAATCATCATAATGAGTCCACTGAGTGTAATAGTTATCAATCACAGGTTTTAAGCAAAGGCTGAGTATCCCTGTTGAGGACAGTGGAAAGGGCAAGAATCCAGGCCCCTCCCTTCTGCCTTTGCAAGAGGGTTGTGGCCTACCTCTCTCTGTTGTCTGTCAGGAATGCAGCTGTAACAGCTTGCAGCTGGCAGGGGTGAGCATGAGTCCCCCTGTCTGACATCCAGTGCAGCTGTGTCACCTGCTGGGTGGGCTGTTATCTGTTCTGACTGGAAGGATCCTATCTTTCTTCCCTGAGCCAGTTTCCCCCAGTGCTGGGCCAGGTCACATGGAGCCTAGAAGCTGAGAACCTATTCCTGCGGGCAGCCGCAATTGTAGGGAATAGTTAACCCTGCCAGCGCCTCTATCTGGAAATCAGACAAGGTTGTGATTTATGTTACCTCCTCAGCTTCAGTTTCCTTAATGAAATGTAAATAAAAATAGCCCTTTGACGATGCCTGCTGCCCTTTCAGTGCTGGGAGGATGTATGATCTATGCCGTTTTTGTCCTAGGTCTGCCACCTCTTCCTTCCTTGCCTCCCCGAAACTTACCTGGCATTGCACCTCTCCCCCTGCCATCCGAGTTCCTCCCGTCATTCCCCTTGGTTCCAGAGAGCTCTTCTGCAGCAAGCTCAGGAGAGCTGCTGTCTTCCCTCCCGCCCACCGGCAACCCACCCTCCGACCCTGCCACAACTACTGCAAAGGCAGACGCTGCCTCCTCACTCACTGTGGATGTGACGCCCCCCACTGCCAAGGCCCCAGCCACGGTTGAGGACAGAGTCGGCGAGTCCACGCCAGTCAGCGAGAAGCCTGTTTCTGCGGCTGTGGATGCCAGTGCTTCTGAATCACCTTAACATTGAACCGTTCTTCGGAATTGGCGTGGTATATTTATTTAACCACGGGAGTGTGTCTGGAAATGCAAACTATCATTAATTTCATACTAGTTTGTACCGTATCTGTAGGCATCCTGTAAATAATTCCTACAGGGGATACTAAACGAGGACGTGGGTTGTTTCCTGCCAAGTTGAGTGGGGCTCACGCGCTAGGGCGAGATGTCAGAAAGTGCTTGTATTTTAAACAACCAAAAAGAATTGTAAGGGTGGCTTGCTGCCAGGCTTGCACTGCCGTTGCTGCGGGTGTGCATCTTCGGGAAAGGTGGTGACGGGGCGTCCACTAGGTTTCCTGTCCCCTGCTGCTCTTTCCGTAAGAAAATGAAATATTCTATGCCTAGTACTCACACGCAACATTTCTTGTACTTTGTAAGTCGTTTGCGAGACTGCAGACCACTTCACAAAACTAAACGGTAAAGAGATTTTACTTTTGGTCTCCGTGAGTCGCATCTCTATTAAGGTTTACACAGGAATTCCACCTGAAGACTTGTGTTAAAATTCCACAGCGCTCACTGTTAATTGAACGTCTTTTTCTTCAGCCTATACACGGATCCTTGTTTTGAGCTCTCTGAATCACTCAGACAACATTTTGTAACTGCTGCTGTTGCTTTCTACGTCCACCTTATAAAGTGGCATTTCAAAAGAAATAAAGAAGGTGTCACAGTTTTAAACCAGAAGGTGGCACTCTGTGGCTCCTTGTAGTATTATAGCTATACTGGGAAAGCATAGATACAGCAATAAAGTACAGTAATTTTACTTTTTTTCTTGTGTTACATCTAAATTACAACCCTTAATTGCCACGTGTGCACTTACTACTCTCCGGTATGTCATGCATCTTTAACTTTTCATGTCCTATGTTTGCTTTCTCCCGTTTTTAAGAGATGGTAAGTTAACTGGAGTTGATTTACTGAATGAAATTAAATGCAGATATCCATGTTTTTGAAATAAGACAAAAGTGGTTCCTCTGTTATTGCCCTGGTATAAGTCTGTAGATGCTGATCCCCTGCAGGGAGGACATGGCTGAGGTGGCAGCACCCTCACATCACCCTCACGTCACTCACCCCTGACTGCCCTGCTGGACACTTGAAGTCAACGCCAGCCCAGCACTCTCCTAGGAGTCTCAGTGCCAGCCAGTTTTGGGGGTAGATCTGTTTCTGGGGCCAGGTTTGTACTTAAAACTGAATGATGAAAGAAGTCTCCAGCCCTAATCATAGCTGCTTCTGTTTACACTGTGTAAATGTTTCTAAAATATTTCAGTTAATCCCGTTTTTTGAAAAGGAGCTTATAACAGGTGAGGAAAGTATTCACAAGCACATTTAAATGTTATAATTTTTGGCTTTCCAGGATAGGAAAACTTGAGAAAGTTACTACTTTCTAAAAGAGTTCTTAAATATTAAGATCTCCTTAATATTTGTTGTTTTTACATTAAAAGACAAATATTAAGGAGATCCCTTAGTGGAAAGCGAGTGAGTAATTTTCAAGTTTTACAAAATGATTTTTTTTAATACATTTCTTCCAAGGCAATGCTTGTGAACTCTGGTGCAGTCACAGCTCTCATCTGGGAATGATGACAGGCTGGGCTCTCTTCCTGGGCAGATGAAGTAGCATAACTGAAACACTAATCTCTAGGGAGATTGAGGGACCTTTTTTTTTTTTCTTTTTTTTTGAAACAGGGTCTCACTCTGTCACCTTGGCTAGAGTGCAGTGGCTTGATCTTGGCTCACAGCAGCCTTGACCTCCTAGGGACTCAAGCAATCCTCCCACCTCAGCCTTCTGAATATCTGGGACCACAGGTGTGTGCCACCATGATAGTGAGGGACTCTTAACACTCACCTAACTAATGGACAGACACTCAGCCTAGATTGGCTTGTTGGATCTTCCCTGAGGTGGAAAATACTTCATTATTTTCTGCTGCCTTCAGACAAACCAGTTTCAGTCTTTAACAGTGGTAGATCTGGTACCAGGCTCCAGAAACACGATGTAAGAGAGAGTTTCCCTGACAGTAGGCCACTTCCATGGCCTTGTAGGGAGACAGACCAGGGAATCAGTCCTTAGGGCCAAGGCAGAAGGATTGCTTGAGCCCAGGAGTTCAAGTCCAGCCTGGGCAACACAGACCCTGTCTCTACAAAAAATTTAAAAATTAGCTGGGCATGGTGGCATGTGCCTGGAGTTCCAGCTACTCAGGAGGCTGAGGTGGGAGGATCGCTTGAGCACAGGAAGTCAAGGCTGCAGTGAACTGTGAGGAAACTATGCAAGGCTAGGAAAAGTCTTGAGTGTTTGTGTGCATGGGGCTGGGTCTTGTGTGCTGGACTAGGGAGTTTGAGCTTTTGCTTAAATACGGTAGTCACGAAGGCTGGAGGGCAGCGCAGTGGGGTCCAGCCTCAGGAGGGACGCTCACCTGAACCTCCTTGGCTAGCTAAGTCTCTACTTTGAGTCTAGGATAATGACTCTGTTAGTCTGTTCTGACACTGCTATAAAAAAATACCCAAGACTGGGTAATTTTATAAAGGAAAGAGGTTTAATTGACTTAGTTTCACGTGGCTGGAGAGACTTCAGGAAACTTAAAATCATGGCAGAAGGCAAAGGGGAAGCAAGAACCTTCTTCACATGGCAGCAGAAGAGAGAAGCGCAAGCAGGGGAAATGCCAGAGGCTTATGAAACCATCAGATCTCGTGAGAACTCACTCTCACGATAACAGCAGTGGGGAAACCACCCCCATAGTCCAATCACTTCCCACCAGATCCCTCCCTCAACACATGGGGATTATGGGAACTACAAGAAGAGATTTGGGTGGGGACACAGCGAAACCATATCAATGATTTTACCTTTTCCCCTCTGATTTTTCTGTTTTATTTTTAGTTCATTACTAATTGTGCTTACCTGGGAGCAGTTTAACTTAGTTAAACTGAAAATTCTGAAAATCCTGAAAATTCTGAAGACCTCGAAATTACCTTGTGGCCTCTTCCTCACCTGAGAGGCACCTACTAAAGCTCAAAGATGGCTCTACCTTGGATGTCCAAACATTTCTGCTTTTGACTATAGTGAAGATGAGAGACTGGTGGGCTGCTGGAGCTACGGTAGTGACATGGAAGCCCCGATCCCACTGTTAAGGAACCTGTGGTTTAGATGGGAACATGAAGCAACTTCACGCAAACTGCAGCAAGTGAAGAGTCTCAGCTGAGCAGAGACCTGGAGAGTCTGGGTGAAGGGAACATTCTCTGGCAGCTGAAGAAGGCTTAGCCAGACCTACATTTTAGCAGGTCACAGTAGGAAAGCCATGGGCATTAAAGCCTCCAGCAGCAGTTGACTATAGGTGCATTTTATTAGAAAATTAAATACATCTTATTTAAATGATTGATTTGTGAAAAAGTTTTTTCTTCCAGAGTGGCCCTATTTTTTATCAGTAACTTGTGAAGGAAGGTTGGGCCTTCCCCCTGTGACCCTGAAGATGAAGTTCTTTAATTATCTGACTACCCAGCAAGGTTCAACCCTGTCTTCAGATTAGAATTGCCTCAATTAGAATATTGATTCCTGGACTCTTGGCGTTTTAAAAAACTTCCCCAGGGAGGGTGGACCTGTAACTGCGGGAAGTAATAGGCGCATAGGAAGGTCATCGTTCTTGCTAGGTACCTACTTTTACCACTAAGCAAAGTGCACAGGTTAGAGGAGGGGTCCTTTTGTCACATACATACATATATATATATACACATATATATGTGTGTGTATATATATATATGTGTATATATGGGTTTTTTGTTGGTTTTTTTTTTTTGCATTAGATTTAGGAAGAACAATTTCCGGCTTGGCTAACCAAAGTGTTCCTTTATAGGCCTTTTGTGTATCAAGCCAATTGATAAAATGGGGAATTAATGCCACAGCCAATTATTCAAGCACTAGAACAACAGTACGTGGAAGGGCAAGTGGGTCCCACTCCCAGCTGGGGGCTACAGGTGAGGGGAATAGGGAGGGGTGAGGAGAGTGAGAATGCGCCGCAAAAGAGCAGAGGAGTGAGGAGTGCAGACAAGTGCAGATGCCGCCCCACTGCCTCTCCAGGGAGTTACACAAACGTGAGTACTCTGGTCGCTTGACAGTTTAGAGAAAACGCCACACTCCAGCCATTGATGGAGGCGGGCCACAGATTTTCAGTGTTACCAGAGTTGAGGTTACAGTGTATTTCCTGGCAAGATACAAGTCCATGCTCCATGAAGGCTGCTGGGGCTTGGGATAATAACAGTAGCCAGCATTTATTAAGTGTTTCCTGTACATGGGGTGAATAATAAGAGTGCTCTGCCCAGCAGACAAGAGGAAGCAAACCGTTTCCCCCCAGGCATGTTTCCTTTGAACTCCCCTGTATATATTAAAATATGGATTAATTGCCAACATTTAAAAATCAGAAGGTTTCACATAAATCCAGATTTCTGGTTTCTCAAAGTCACAAGTTCTGGCAACAGATCAATCCTACAGGGAAATGAACGCCCCTTGGAGTCTGTGTCCTCCAGTCTCCAATTCCCACAGCCCCACCTGCGTACACCAGCCCCCACGCCCACCGCCCGCAGGTGTCTGAGTTTGCAGAGCCCTGTGTTATGCTGGTAGTAACACAGCTGAGTCTGGGGAGAGGGAAGGGATGGCTGAAACCGAGGTTTCCTTACAGTCAGCGGGGCCAGAACCCTTGGGGACCCAGGATCAGGAAACAAGGTCCTTCATGGATTTCATTATTTAGGATCCAATGAATCGTGTGGAATGGGCACTAAGGTTAGCAAAATTTGAAGCAGCCACTTAGACGGTAAACCTGAGGGAGAAAATGTCCCTGGACAATGACTGGGATAGTAACAACAATTTGAGTTTCACTAGTCTCTTTTCCTAAAGCCATATGCTGGGTTCCCAACCCATTGATTACCTTAACAACCAACTCTATTAGAATTGATCATCAAGTCTCTTTTCACAACTAAGAGTTGTGAATAAGAGTTCATGAATCCCTGACTGACTTTCTTACCCTCCACTCTCCATGGCCTTGCTTCCTGGGGAGGGTCCTGTTTGCCAAGCTGGCCTGGTTTGAGACCCACACTAAGAAGTCGGCCTGAGGTTCAGGGCAAGACTCTTCCAGAAGCACTTGAATTATGGTGGCTGGGAGTGGGGTTACAGGAACTTCTCATTTCTTATAAACTTGCGTATTGCCAGAATTTTTTAAAAACACAATTACTTTTTACTTTTTTTTTTTTTTTGAGATAGAGTCTTGCTTTGTCACCCAGGCTGGAGTGCAGTGGTGCAATCTCGGCTCACTGCAACCTCCCAGGTTCAAGCAATTCTCCTATCTCAGCCTCCTGAGTAGCTGGGATTACAGGCACGTGCCACCACGCCCGGCTAATTTTTGTATTTTTAGTAGAGATGGGGTTTCACGTGTTGGTCAAACGGGTCTTGAATCCCTGACCTCAGGTGATCCACCCGCCTCGGCTTCCCAAAGTGCTGGCATTACGGGCATGAGCCACCGCGCCAGGCTTTAAATTGCCTTTTTTTTTTTTTTTTTTTTTTTTTTTTGAGACGGAGTCTCACTCTGTCACCCAGGCTGGAGTGCAGTGGCGCGAATTACTTTTTAATTACTAAAAACAATAGGGTTATTTTGATCTAGGGGGTGGATGAATGGGAGACTTACAGAGCCAGAAAAAGCCTTGTTCTGGGCCGGGCGCGGTGGCTCACGCCTGTAATCTCAGAACTTTGGGAGGCCGAGGCAGGCGCATCACGAAATCGGGAGATCGAGACCATCCTGGTCAACATGGTGAAACCCCGTCTACTAAAAATACAAAATTGGCCGGGCGTGGTGGCAGGTACCTGTAGCCCCAGATACTCAGGAGGCTGAGGCAGGAGAAGCGCTTGAACCCTGCAGTGAGCCAAGATCGCACCACTGCACTCCAGCCTGGCGACAGAACGAGTCTCTGTCTCAAAAAAAACAAAAAAAAAAACAAAAACAAAAAACGAAGCCTTGTTCCATCTCTTCTGAAGCCTTTCATTTCAGTCTGTCCAGGACGGCCCCTGCTGCAGGGCTGGGGAAGCGTTTTCCCCCAGCAGCGTTATGACTGATCAGACTAAGGGAGCTCTCTGCCAAAAAACCCCCAACACTGTCCCTAGGTTAGAATTATCCATGAAATTTCCCTGAATAGACTTGTGCTGTGACTGATTTGCAATGCTGTGTTGTGTTTGTAAATCAGTTTGGCCAGAACTGTGTAGCTCAGACAGCTATGCTGAAAGAGCCCGGAAACACAATGGCAAGAGTCCACGTTGTACCCAGGCGCTGTTTTGACCTCTAGAACTCTGGAAACAGTGTTACCATCAGGTAGTGAAGTATGCATGGTTCCAACACGTCCACTCGAGATCAATGGCTAAACAACCTGTGTGCTTCTTGGTGGTGAGGAACAGAACTGCTAGAGGAGCCTCATAAAATCAAGAAGAAACAGGTACCTGTTGTATGAGTCCAGGAGCTCAAAGCTCATTCTGATTTCAATGAACGGTTACTTGCCTTGGTCTCTGTCAAGGTTTTGTTTTTAAAGGGCATGAAACTTTAGAGACTAATTCATTTTCCCAAATTCAGGTCTCTCTTAGGTAAGTAGTACAACCTGAGAAAAGAGGACAACCCTCTGGGATCTTTGGCACCGTGACGCTGCCATATTCCAGGAGGGGACAGGTGAGGGTTCACTGTGGCTGAATCGGAAGGAGACAGAAGAGGCAGGGAGGAGCTACCGGTCAGGCCTCAGGGCAGGTTCAGGTTCAGGTTCAGGTTCAGAACTTGATCGCGTGGACTGGTGTTACCCAGAGTGAAGAAAACTGTCTTTCCTCCTTTAATGCCTATGTATTTTATTTTAGCATATTTTGGGGAAAAAATAATAGTTGCATTGGATATGGCTAATTTTACAAATGAACTTCAGTGAGAAAAGGGGATGGTTTTAAAGAGAAGTGCTGGGTGAGGTATTGGGTTAATTCCCCCAGGCCCCAGGAAGCAGGTGCGCCTGGAGAGCTCAAACCGAGGCCCCCGCTTCGGGTAGGAGCTGAATCTACGTAGGTCTGTCCGGTCCCACGCCTCAGTTCTGTCCCCACACGGCAGGTTCCTGGAACGACATCCACCTTTGTTCAGGAACTCCGGTCTTACCGCCGCCCACGTGGAGTGGGATCCGAGCCAAAGGGGCCTCCTGAGCGGAGACCGCAGTGCGCGCCACTGGCCACCAGGTGGCGCCGGGAGCCTGGGAAAACCGCGCCCCGCCAGCGGCCGCGGGGTCTCCGGGCCGGTCTCACAGGGCCCCTGGGCGGGGCCGGGGCGTCGCGCTGGGGCACTTTCTGTTCTTTGGAAGAAGGGCTTTGGTCACCCGCTTTCTTTCCATCGCCGACCCAGTGCGGATGCGTGGGGGATGAGCCTGGGCGCCTTCACCAAACGAAGCCCCCTTTAATCAGATGTGAAGGCAAATCTCTCCACCGGGGGACCCGTTGGGTGCGGCGGAGACACCCTTCGGTGGCTGAGATACCCTCAGACGCCGTAGAAGCACCAGGGGTCTGAGCGCCCAGTGCGGGAGGTGCGGGGCCGGCTTCCCTCCCCGGGGCTGGAGCCTTCAGGAGCACCGCCCCCACCCGGCTTCCTCCGAGGGCAGTGCTGGTCTCGGGCCTCACCCCGGGCTGGTTGCTGCCCTTGGTCTCGTCCAACCCACACCCGCGGGCAGCGGAGGCTCCTGCTGTGCACAGGCCCGGGGGCGCCGGGGCGGGGAGGCTGAGTCTGGGCCCAGGTGTCCCAAATCCAAAAGCATCCCACTGGGCTACCTGTAAATTAGCCATTTCGGATCTAGTGATTGAGCGAGAGGACAGAATAGCCCAGAGGCTGGGTAACTAACATGTGCGGGATCAAGGCGTTCGCGGGCAGCTACTATTAGGGCACTGAAGGATGCATAGAGGTTCTCTTCGGTGGTCAAAGTGGAAGGAAGAGCTTCTCTTAGGCAGAGGGAACAGCTTCTGCAAGGACTCACAGGAATGTGGCACGTGGTGTGTCCCGGAACTACAAACAGCTCTGGTGGCTGGAATGTGAAAAGTATGGAGTGGTAGCAGTTGCCACAGAAGGGGGAGCGGGGCCAGATCGCCAAAGGCCTTGCATGCCACGCTCAGGGGCTTAGACTTCACTGCCCTGGGGAGTGTTTATAAGGGGGGTGTTTTTTGTTCTTGGCAGTGAAGTACCCAGGGAGCTTGCCCCTTACATAGGTCAGTGGTCTGAAAAACCTCCTTTTTAGCAAGCAGGGGCCTTTCGTTTAAAAAAAAAAAATTCATATGGAACATAGATTCAAAAGCCAGGCCAACGTGGAGCTGTCGGCAGTTTCCCTGTGAGC